GCCTCCAGTGTGTGTGTGTGTGTGTGTGTGTGTGTGTGTGTGTGTGTGTGTGTGTGTGTGTGTGTGTGTGTGTGTGTGTCCCAGGTCAGGTAGGATAGTCTAGTCCAGCTGGTCTCTCAGTTGGTGTCGGCTCCATCAGGATGTTGGACCTCAGTGTGTCGCTAACCCGGACACTCACAGGTCACTGCAAACACACACACACACACACACACACACACACACACACACACACACACACACACACACACACACACCTGACCCGGTTTCTCAGGTTTTGGACCTCAGTCTTGAATTTCAGGTTTTTCAGGTCAGATCTCTACGTCTGTGACTTCCTGTTTCTTTAACTCCTGATTTCACCTCCTTACAGCCAAACACGTCTCTGAACGACACGCACACGTCTGATTGGTCGATAATTGATGAAAATTAGAGCGTTAGAAAATAAAAGAAGTCAAGTATGAATAAAACATCTGTGTTTCCTCTGCCTGTTTGTTCTGATGTTCATGTGAAGAGACGAGGCTGCAGGCGACTGTTTCCATAGGAGCATCTGCAGTGTGACGGTCCCACTGGACTGACAGCACAAGTGTGTGTGTGTGTGTGTGTGTGTGTGTGTGTGTGTGTGTGTGTGTGTGTGTGCGCGTGAGTTTAGCAGCTATTTATGGGACCTTCTGTACTCCAGCGTTTGTTCCTCGAGGATCTGGAGGTCTTTGCTGCAGCTGTATCTCTGAGCTGCCGGAGCGCCTCTGAGCAGCAGCGCCACGGCGGCCGACGGACGCCGCTCTGGAAATCTGACAGCTGTCATGGGAGAGGGAATTTGAAAGAGAACGAACAAACTGAAACGGGGGAGTGGAAAATGACAAGCATGAGTGCGTCCATCTGCTGAGAGGAGGGGTCGACGTGACGAACCTGAAGAGTGAGAAGACCCCGACCTGAGCTCTAAAAGACCTGTCCTGACCCCTTCATAGATGTAAACACATAGATGCCACGGCCCGACCGATTTATCGGCGACACAATTAAATCGGCCAATTTTAGCCCGTTTGAGACTAATCGGTAATCGACCAAAACTCGCCGATTTTCGCCGATATTTTCAGAAATAAAATACAGAGAATAAGATTCAGTTTCACTTCGAAAATGTTCCTCCATTTGAAAAGTTCCCCGACTTCTCCTGTAGATGGCGCTACAGCGACCTCATGCCGATCTTCATCCACTAACTCCCTCACAGCAGAGTGATGATCTGAAGCAGCAGCTCAGGGACACGGAGGAGAGTGGTCCGCCTCAACGGGAAATAAACCAGTTTGTGAAAAACACAATCAGTCAACAAGTTTCACTTCAACCCACTTCACCATGTTCCCCGCTGGGCTGGTCTCGGCCACGCCCACTTAACGCTGAAGCACCATGGGATATGAAGCTAACGTTAGCGTTAGCCACCTGCTGTTAGCCTGTTAGCTACACTGTTAGCCGTGTCAGTAACGGTAGAATAAACAACAGAACACATTAGTGATGGAGCGACTTCTCTGACTGAGGCAGCTGCAGGTCTGCGGATCAGACCGGACCGGAGGAACGGGAGTGAAGACGAGGAGACACCGATCGACCAGGGGGTCCGGGTTTGATCAGTCGGACTTCCTGTCGGCGTGAAGAGTAGTAGCCTACAGGATATAGTGTACTGTAGATACAGGATATATATATATATACTGTATCTACAGTATATATATATATATATATACTGTAGATACAGTATATATATATATATATATACTGTATCTACAGTATATATATATATATATATATACTGTAGATACAGTATATATATATATATATATACTGTAGATACAGTATATATATATATATATATACTGTAGATACAGTATATATATATATATTTTATAATTTCATAAAAAAATAAAAAAATCAGCTGATTAATTGATAATTGATTTTTTTCCCTCCTAATAATCGGTATCAACATCGGCCCTAATAGATGCTTCAACATGGAACAGACTGCACCTTTAAGGGTCCATGAGGCTCAGAGAGAGGACATCTATGCGTTTAGATCTGTGCTGTCTGAGGGTGGAGGCTGTTAGGGTTATTTATGAACAGATGGAGGTGATGGAGCAACAATAACGCCTCTGCACACACGGCCGTGAAATTAAAGCTGTAACACGATCGCCGCCGCCGCCGTCGTTGTTAAAGAGACGGACAGATCTTTAGAGGCTGAATCAGACGCTCTCAAAGGTGAAAACCTCCAACATGGCGGCTGAAGAGAGAGAGAGAGTTATGTCACCCATAAAGAGCCGGAGGGTTCGGTGAGTTACTGCCACCATAAATCTGCCGCTAATGTAATTTCTCTGCGTTTCTGCAGCTCAGCTGACTCAGACGGGTTTTCTTCAGATGGTCACGGCTGACGGCGTCTGACTGATTCAGACCGACTGACTGTGACAGGGAGAGAGAGGCTGCAGCTCCACAACATCTATTTTCTAACGGGATTTCTGTGTAGACGGCGGTCTCGGCGGGGCGGCGGCGTTACCTCCTCGGACTGAGCGGCTGGGGAGACGGTTCTGTTTATCGCCACAGCAACAGCAGAGGGAAGGATGTGGGTGATGCATGATCACATGTTGTCTGATGTTCCTGAGCGGCTCTCCGAGGGTCTGTGAGGTCGTCTCCTCTTAAAGAGATAGACCTGGAGTCTGAGGAAGGAGGTCAAACACCCAATAACAAACGTAACCAGGAGCCAAATGACGGCGTTTTCCATTTCTGTCCTCCAGAGACCGCCGTGCGTTTTCCTTCAACATATTAAAAGGAGAGGTTTGGTTACGCCCCCCCAGAGAGAACCTCTAACCTCAGCTGTGACTCAGCTGCTGTGAAGAGGAGGGAGGATCAGGTGTGAGGAGACGCCGCTCTGCAACCTTCATCGACGCCGTTAATAAGAGCGTCTGACAGGCTCCGCCTACGCAGCTCCACCGGGAAGATTTCTGAGCTTCTGATTCAATCCTGATGAACTCCAGCAGAGCCGGGTTCAGAGCGCCACCATGAGGCAGAGTCATTCACAAAAACACGGCGGCGAGCTTTCCTCCGTCGCTCTGAGGAGGTCAGAGGTCACGGCTTTAAGGTAAAACACTCAAATTCAACATAAACAGGAGAGAGAATCAGCTTCCTGCTGCTGAGGCTCAAAGATTAAAGAGGAGGAGGCGAGGAGACGAGGAGGCGAGGAGGCGAGGAGACGAGGAGGCGAGGAGGCGAGGAGACGAGGACTGCGGCCCACGCACTTTCATCAGAGAGGAGCTGCTGCAGAGCCATGACTCACTGCTTCACTAAATCCACCGATGAAGGTCCTGCAGAGACCTGAACCTTCACACACAGGTCTGTGACGGACCCTCTGAACACGGAGACGACTCAGAGCTCAAACCCGGGTCCCAGTTTTCTGAAGAGACTTCAGCAGAACCACAGAACGGAGCGTTCACAGAGACGTCGGCGTCCACGGAGACGTCGGCGTTCACGGAGACGTCGGCGTTCACGGAGACGTCGGCGTTCACGGAGACGTCGGCGTTCACGGAGACGTTCAGCAAAGAAAAGCGTAGCGGAGGAACCCCGTCTTTGGAAACTCCTGCAGTTTGTGTTTGAAAACAAAATAGAGAAAAAAAATCTTTAAAAGTTTTTTTATTTGGAGTTTTTTTGCTGTTGGTGGACGACAGAGAAAGAAAAACTCAGAGTCTGAATAAATCTTTGGCGTCGGCGCTCAGATCCCGTCCCTCCTCTGCAGTTAAAAAAGATGAAGACCTCCCCAGAGGAGCTCCGGTCTCATTTTGGTAAATTGGATCTGAGTCACAGGTGACTGACACCTGAGTGCAGCTGAACTGCTGTGAACTGACCTGATGAGGATATTTATAGAGAGAACTGTCAGTGACGCCTACAGGAGAGAGTTCAGAATCAAACATCAGCTCAGACTGTTAACCAAACCATCGAGTCTCACAGGAACCGGAGAAGGTGACGTGTCGACAAGGAAACACTCTGCAGCAGAAGTCTGACGGACAGTCCGTACGTCTACGTTTCCATCGACTCGACTCCTGCTGCAGAAAAAGCTCCAGGATTCAAATCTAAGAAATATCTGTTCAACTCCACAGATGATGAAAAACAAATTCAAGTTTCTGAACTGGAGTGTCAAAGACCAGATCTGCAGAAACAGCGTCTGTCTGCAGCTTCAGGACCTAAATCTGCATCAAAAGGCTCCAGTGTTTTTTTCATTAAGAGTTTTTTTACTCGTCTGTTCGTATTTCTGCAGGATCAACGTCAAAAAACAGAAAAACAAGAAAATGATTTAAAGATGTTAGAGACTCACGGGATATGAGGCGTTTTAGAGACATTAGAGAAGAAATAAGATGGTTTAGAGAAATGATTTGACAGAGAAGAGGTTTAAGTTTCTGTGTGAGAGAGATCAGAGGAGTCACAGATTTTAGAGGTTCGAACGGTATCAGAGAAATTAGAAATATTCAGGTTATCAGAGATTTCTTCATCAGACACACACACACACACACACACACACACACACACACACACACACACACGTCCTTCTTCTGCGCTCACGCTCTGCGTCGCTCACGCCGAGTCTCCATGTTAGTGATCTTTGATGAGTCAGCACAAGTTTTCACAGGAAACAACTAAACCTTCAAAAGTGTCAACTACAAGAAGAACTACAACTACTACAAACAACTACAACAACTACAACTACAACTACAACAACTACAAGAAGAACTACAACTACTACAAACAACTACAACAACTACAACTACAACTACAACAACTACAAGAAGAACTACAACTACTACAAACAACTACAACAACTACAACAACTACAAGAAGAAAACAACTACTACAAACAACTACAACAACTACAACTACAAATACTACAAGAAGAAAACAACTACTACAAACAACTACAACAACTACAACTTTACAACAACTACAAGAAGAAAACAACTACTACAAACAACTACAACAACTACAAGAAGAAAACAACTACTACAAACAACTACAACAACTACAACAACTACAAGAAGAAAACAACTACTACAAAGAACTAAAACACTACAAAACTACAAAACTACAACAACTACAACTTTACAACAACTACAACAACTACAAGAAGAAAACAACTACCACAAACAACTACAACAACTACAACAACTACAAGAAGAAAACAACTACCACAAAGAACTCCAACAACTACAACTTTACAACAACTACAACAACTACAACAACCACAAAAAACTACAAAAACTACAACTACAAAAACTACAAAAATAGATTAACTACAAAACTACAAAGGACTACAACACTACAACAACTACAAATTTACAACTACATCAACTACAAATTTACAACAACTACAAAAACTACAAAGAACTACGAAAACTACAAAAATACAAAGAACTACAACATTACAAAACTACAACAGCTACAAATTTACAACTTCATCAACTTCAAATTTGCAACATCTACAACAACCACAAAAACTACAACAACTACAACTTTACAACAACTACAACTACAAGAAGAAAACTACTACAAAAACTACAAAACTACAACAACTACAAAACTACAACAACTACAAAACTACAAAAACTACAAAGAACTACAAAAACTACAACTATAAAATCTACAAAAACTACAACAACTAGAAAAATACTACAAAGAACTACAAAACTGCAGAAAGAGCGAGTCCAGAATCTGGATGGGATAGAAGAGCGAGCAGCGTGAGGTTTTAGTGACGATGGAGGATTAGGGGATAAATCTGCTGAAGGGTGGAGGAACTAAAGGTGGAGTCCTCGCCGCTTCGATGGTGGAGAAGAGAGTTGATAGAGTGGGTGAGATTTGGTGATCTGAGGTTTAAAGGTTGGTGTTGATTTCCTGTCGTGACGGTTCCTCCCACAGATCAGACGACTCAGACGACCTCGACTTCTTCCTGCAGAGTCTCATTAAAGGAAGAATGTCTGTTTGTGTCTGTGTGAGTCTCCCAGAGAGACCGAGCCGCAGCCGTGTGTGTGTGTGTGTGTGTGTGTGTGTGTGTGTGTCACTGCTGGCTTGTTAATTGCGCGCTGTAATCAGTCGGACGAGCTCCTTAATGAGAGCAGACCTCGCTCTTCTCGTGGACCTCCAGAGGACAGACGGAGACGCTCGTGTCTTCAGGTTTACAGGAGATCCACCTCAGGGTCCGACCTCACAGCTCATTATTTTTAACGAACCTGCTGGACTTTCACAGCCACTGAGGTCCACTCAGGTGTAGAACCACAGACCCCCTTGAACGGGTCGAACCCTCCTCCTCTCTGCTGGTGTTCGCACTTCTCAGAGGAGACCCAAGACGATCCGTTTAATCCCAGATCAGGGTCCGATAGCAGAAAACTGGAGCTCATAGAAAACAAGGATCAGTTTTAACGTGGGGATTTTCCTCCCAACCAAACCTGCTGACTTCAGGGCGTCTGAGGGCTCCTGGTTCTGGTTCTGGTTCTGGTTTGTCCTCTGAGTCTGGATTTTCATCCTCCTGTTTCAGGTTCAGATTTGTTCTGGTTGATTTCTGTCCTCGTCCTTTTGTCTTCTCCTGTCCTCAAAACACTTTGTCCTTCAAACACTGACTGTGACAACCAGAACCAGAACCAGAACCAGCAGCAGGTAGAGAACCATCATCAACATGACTCCAAATCAGCGCTGACACATGAAGCCTGGAAGAAACAGACGGTCAGGATAACAACAGAAAAACATCTCTGGATCTAAACGTCCGACCACCACCAGGGGGCGCTCTAGGCGGGAGAAATACAAACACATGAATGTGTTTAGTCTTTGCCCTCCATTATGCATGACGACTTTGGGTCAGACCGGAGTGGGCGTGGCTGAGATAAAAGTACTTCCTGTCTGAAACAGGGAAGCTTGAAGGCTCCTCACAACAATGACCTTTGACCTTAAATCATTCAGGTCTTCAGACTGCGAGGAAAAATCAAGTAAATCAGCCTGACCCCCGACCTCCACCTTCATCCTGATGGTCTCCTAAAAGGTCGTATCCTCCGATCGTAGCTGATCGTAACCATTCAAGTTAACGTGTCAATTTACACCGACTTCTTTTCAAAATAAAACATCCGGCTTCTTTTCAAAATAAAACACTCGGTGTTTCAGGAGGATCGTATTTCACACCATGCAAACGGGCGGAGACGAACAAGTGAAAGGTTTTTAGACGTCATTTCACCCCGATGACACCATGGATGAGGAGATGCTGATTCTAGAAGTCTAGAAGTAGATTTCCTCCTCTGGAAGGACACAATCTACTGCTGATATGTCTATGTGTCTGTCTTTAGAGAGACAACTCGTTATCGTGTGATTGAACGTGAATCTGCAGGTTCTTGTTGTTCCTTCTGTCTGTAATCCGCTGTGAAATTCGCCTCACAAACAGATCTCGTAGGACTTGGCGGACAGCAAAAATGGCCGCTGTTCTCTATGCGGTGGAAATTCAGGGTTACACCTTTGGAGAGGGAACTTCTCAAAGACCTTCAGAATAAAAACCCAAAACATGAAGACCACTGCAGAGGAAAGTAATCATAGAGCTGCAGACATAGAGCTGCAGACATAGAGCTGCAGTTATAGAGCTGCAGACAGCAGTCATAGAGCTGCAGACATACAGCTGCAGTCATAGAGCTGCAGACATAGAGCTGCAGTCATAGAGCTGCAGTTATAGAGCTGCAGACAGCAGTCATAGAGCTGCAGACATACAGCTGCAGTCATAGAGCTGCAGACATAGAGCTGCAGTCATAGAGTTGCAGAGAGCGGTCATAGAGCTGTAGACATAGAGCTGCAGACATAGAGCTGCAGTCATAGAGCTGCAGTCATAGAGCTGCAGACATAGAGCTGCAGTCATAGAGCTGCAGAGAGCGGTCATAGAGCTGCAGACATAGAGCTGCAGTCATAGAGCTGCAGTTATAGAGCTGCAGACATAGAGCTGCAGTCACAGAGCTGCAGACATAGAGCTGCAGACATAGAGCTGCAGAGAGCAGTCATAGAGCTGCAGACATAGAGCTGCAGTCACAGAGCTGCAGTCACAGAGCTGCAGACTCAGAACTCTAGATCCAGATTGGGTGTTTTGAGCTCAGAGTTCTGACGGAGGTTCTGGTGGACTTTGATTCAGACTCACAGACACTCAAAGCTTCACGCTCTGAGGAAGAACAGAGTAATTAACTCTGACTGAAACGAATCCTCGGCTCTGATGAAGGACATGATTTATTGGCTGACGATGAAATGAGCCCAGGAGCCTCTGGGGGCGCTGTTGATGTTCTTTTATTTTCTGCTGCTTTTTAATGACCAACACAGATTGATTTTATTCATCAGATCATGTGATTATAATCTGTATAATAATAAGATAATAAATAATAATAATAATTATTATTATTATTTATTATTTTTTTATTATTATTATTATTGTCTGTGGAGAGCAGCTCCTGTTTCTGTGTTTACACTCTTCATATGGTTACTCTGGATCTCAGCAGGTTCGGTTCTGTTCGGTTCTGATCCGCTCTGTCTCTTCTTTTTTCTCTGTCAATGCTCACAGAGACGTTAAAAGATACCGGGACATGAGTGTTGTCGGGCTGGACCCGGGGGAGACTGAGGAGGATCCACTGTTATGTTTGCTAATAAAAAGACAATTAAAAGGGCTTTTATTTTGAAAGTTTTCTCAGTTCAGCTCTGAGAAGAACCGCTCAGTGTCAGGCTGCTGAAACAAAGACTTCAGTTATTCTGGACGGGCTGAAAGGAAGAGAGGGATGAAGAGAGGGATGAAGAGAGGGATGAAGAGAGGGATGGAGAGAAGGATGAAGAGAAGGATGAAGAGAAGGATGGAGAGAGGGATGAAGAGAGGGATGAAGAGAAGGATGAAGAGAGGGATGAAGAGAAGGATGAAGAGAAGGATGAAGAGAAGGATGGAGAGAGGGATGAAGAGAGGGATGACTGAACGAACGAGTGAGAGTGAGAGGGAAACAAGAGAGAGGAGAAAACGAGAAGAGTGCTAATGAGAGGGAGACACAATTACACAACAAACCCCTCCCCCCCCGTCTCTCGCTCTAACGGCTCTACGGCGTTTTTCTCTGATCAGGAAACTTTTGTAGTTTTCTTCTCTATAATTATCGATCCGTTATTCGACGTTAGAATCTGTTTTTTCTTCTGAAGAGACGGACGTTAGGAGACAAAACAGGAAAACTCTGAAGGAACTAAAAACCAGTTTGAAGGACTGTTCCACTACAACACTGTCCTCCATCTCTATGTTATCCACCAACAGATAAAACAAGATCCAAACAAGATCCAAACAAGATCTGCCGTCCACCCTCTGGGACTCTACTGTTGGTTCTTCATGAATGAAAGATCTGACCAAGGTTTTAGAGCGGAGGGTCCGCAGAGTCAGGCAGTCACCCTAAAGACAGGCTTCAGATCCTGACCTAACCCTTGACTTATCCTGCTCTAATCCTGCTCTAATCCTGCTCTCTGTCAACTTCTAGAGCTAAAGATCTTGTTCACACACACCAACAATCAGCCGTCCACCAAAGTTTTGTTCCAGATTAAATCTAGATCTGGACATTTGGACCCGAGTCTCGGTTTAACGACAGAAAAAGTCCGACCCCGCTGATATTCCTCACTATTTGCCTGATGATTAGATTCATGACCCGATCCGTTTTCCCCCCATGATCCAGTCCTGAGTTTAGGTCCAGCAGAGGGACAATGGGGTTCATTGAAAGTTGAGTCTGCAGATCCATGAATGTGTTTCTGTGGACCAACAACAGGAACGTTATCAGGAACCAGCAGCAGCCAGACGCTGGTTCAGGCGAGCCGACAGATAAGAGCAGCTAACCCCCGACACAAAGCTACCACCATCAGAACAACAAAACACACACACACAGGGACACACAGGGACACACAGGGACACACACAGGGACACACACAGGGACACACACACACAGGGACACACACAGGGACACACAGGGAG